TTTTTTTTTTTTTTTTTTTTCTTTACTCCTGCACGCGTACGCGAAAATACAAATGTTAAAGTGGGAAAACGTAGGTGAGAGCGAGCAAGGGAGTGGGAAGGGGAGAAGGAAGGGGTCGTCCCCTGCGCACAGTATTACGTCAATCGGATTATTATCGCGATAAAAACAAAACTCCTTTGCAGGTAGTTTCTGTCCGATGCTCGTTTGTCCGTAAAGCGCCGCGACATAAAAATATTTCAAGCAACACCGTACCGGAATAAATCGACTGTAAGTAATTACACCGGCGGGGGAGAGCTGGAATGCAATTCTCCTGCGAGAGAGAGCGCTACGCATTATTTCGCTGATAAGACCATTTTATTTCAGCTCCCGCCACCGCTCACTCTCTCTTTCTCTTATTTATATACACCGTTGTTTCAATGGATCATTTGTTACTCGCGATTACATGCGTTCTCGTTGCCGACAGATCCTAATAGTAACATTCTGCGCGCGCGCGCGAGTAGCACGATAACTCACATATGTAAGAGAAACAAAACACAGTTGAATAACGCGCCCTCCGCGCACTCGGGGGCTGCGGCCACGAAGAAGTTATCCCCTAACTGTCTCGAATATAACCAGAGATTCCGATGCTACTCCTTTTCTAGAAGATTATTCAAACGAGCATGCTTGATATGTGAACCGCGTGTCGTCATCGTCGTCGTCGCCGCGCGAGGAAGAGAAGCAAAGAGAATGCAGCGTGCGCCCCTTCGTGGGAGGGGGTGGAGGGAGAGAGGAGGTGGAATAGGATTCCGCCCGGGAAGAGGAGTAGGTGGGTGTACTGCTCCTTCACTCGCGCGCGCACAGAGGAGGTCGTGTTATTACTGTTATCAGGCGACCACGACGAGAAGCAGCCGTCTATCGAGTCGACGGCGCATCCGTCCCTCCCGCATCGGCTTCCCCCTATTATGGCGATCGTTTTTCAACGGAAGTGTCCGTTGTAACCTCGTCGCAGCGAGAGAGAGCAATATCCCGAACGATATTCGGCACATTCCGCGGCACGTGGCTGATTAAATAGAGTACTACTGCTACTATTGCTACGCTAGACCGCGCCATCACGTGGTAGGGTTTACCAGCGCGAAAGAGAGGCGGCGGCGGATGAGGAGGATGGGAAGGAGGTAGAGGAGGAGGTCGACGCGAGGGTGCTTTGGCTAGAGCCGAAGGCGAGAGAAAAAGAGAGACAGACAGATAGAGAGAGAGAGAGAGAGAGAGAAAACGAGGAACGAGATTCGGTGCGCGCTGCGAGGGAAAAAAGAGAGAAAGAGTATCCGCGGCGTTCGTGCGAGCGTACTAGCGCCTAGAGCGCTATAAGGGTAGCGGAATGGTGGCGGCGCTGTGGCTCGAGCGAGGCGAGGGGCACAGCAGGGGTAGGAGCGACCGGGTGAAAGGTGGGGTGGCCGCTCGATACCACTGCGGCACGGCCAAAGTCGAAGCTATACCACGAATCCCTCCGTCTCGCTCTCACCCGCTCTCTTCCACCCTCTCCCGTCCGCCCTACCCCGGCCTCCGCTGCACCCCTGCCGTTGCTACCCTCTCGCTCGCTCTACTCTCTACAACCCTGCCACGCCGCTCTTGCTTCTCGCGCGCCCCGGTAACGTGCGCACTATAGCAAACGGCCTACAGCCTTTGCCCGGTATCTACCCCCGAAATCTACCCGCGGCGGCCCTCTAACTCCACCGCCGGCCTGCTCCCCCGCTCCCTCCTCCCCTGCCGCGCGCGCTCATCCGACCTATCCCTCAGGATCCCTCGAGGGGATCTACCGACTGCGCTCTTTAAACAACGAGACACCTTTCCCTCGACTACGTCTCAATTCTCGCCCGGAAGAAGCCCCGATCTGCCTCGTTTTTCCAGGCTAGTTCCGCGCACACCCGTGATCGTCAAGCTCTCACCCTACCTGCTCTCTTCGCCTGCCCCTTCTCCTCCTCTTTCTCCTGCTGCTGCTGCTGCTGCTGCTGCTGCTGCTCCACTCCCCGTCCTCCTCTCTTGCTCGTTCTCCCTCACCCTCTGTCTCGCTTTTTTCCGGAGCCAGTGTTCTTTCTTCTCGCGATTTCCGCACTTTGACCTTCCTACCTCCACTCACCGGCGAGATCGATCTCCGTTAGCTCTAAAAAAAAAAAAAAAAGGAAAAGGGAACGACTCGATTAAGAAGGATCACGCCACTTAGCACATTTGTGTGAGATAAACCCATAAGCGAGATGGCGCGTCGGCTCGCGGAGTAGAGATCGCGGAACCGTGTTCTAGATCGTCTTATAAGAAAATTGGACGAGTAATTTCCGCCAGCCGATATTCCTCCGCAAACCACATCTAGGCCTTCCTCCCGCCCGGCGTGTTGCCCTGTACAATTTCGCTAAGAGCTATACGTCGCGGGCGTCGATTCGTTTAATTAAATACACGTCACTTTTCTTCCGCGAGAGACACGCGCCCTACATTATAGATAAATCCTAATTAATCCCCCCGAGAGAGCCCCCGCTACAGAGCCGTCTACGTAAGCGAGATACACGCCGTATCCTGCCGATCTTGAATTAAATAATATCGCAATATCGACACGGTTTAACTTGCAGGAAGAGGAAAGGGAACGCGCGAGAACAAGATCGCTTCGTAATGAAAGCTACATTCAAAAAGATATAATCTCACTCTTAGAGAATATCCTCTTACGCGTAGCCACCAGAGGCAGGCTTCTTCTCTAAAACCAAAAGGAACCAAAATATTCAATATTCTCAAGGTTAAGGATTTTATCTTTCATCCATAATACAAAAGAGAAGTCTTGCTCTTAATAGAAAAATTTCCTTCTTTCGTAAACATATTCCTCTTAATTTAAAGGGAAAAAGTTTGAATAATACTTCGTAGATTTCCGATCAATAGTTTGCTTCAATGGAAGGGTTATATCCTTTTGGTGGAAATTTGCGCTTTGAATATGGAGTTACAGGAAATAGCACCTTGCAACTAGAATCCTTTTCAGTGTCAGAATATTTTTTTTTCGTTTTTAGAGAAAACCTCTTGAAAGCCGTGTGTAAGAGAGCATTTATTAATAACAATTATTATTATATTTATTTTATATTTATATTAGGATTATATTTATTTTAGGGGTGTACAACACATTTTGCGATCGCGCGCGCGCGTTTTGCAATCGTTTATTATTAATGAGCCATTCGCTAAAAGCTCCGCGAATAGAACGTAATCGCCGAGTATTCCTGACCTTTGTACTAAATATACAACCACGAGCCACTTTTGGAGGGAAGGAGTATTCGATTTTGAAAGATACATTTTTCGCGATTATCGATTTTATTAGACATTCCATGAAACTTTCGTGGAGGAGACGACTCGACGCGAGTACCGGCGGGGAGAGCTCGAGAAAACGCGGTACAGAGAAAGGTAGAGATAGATACAGAGAGGAAGAGAAGAGAGGAGAGAGAAAGAGAGAGAGAGAGAAGGAGGAAGAAGAAGGAAGAAGAAGGTGCGCGCGACTTCTGATACGACCTGTATATCCAATCATCTTGATCGCTCTCGTTGCAGGGCGTACGCTACTCTCTCGGATCGGATCTCTCGATGCAAATTAAGTATAGTCTCCATGGTGTTACCGTATTAAATTGAATATGTTAAGCACGGCGGCAGCTGTGTATATCAAAGTCCCATGGCGAAGTATGCCACGCCGCAATATTTGGCCCTCAGGGTAGCGGGCGCTGTTTTCTTACATGAGGCAGGAAACACACTACTACGCACACTAGTAGTACGTTGCACCTTATTTCTATTACACGACAGAAAACATAAAATACAAGAAGCATCCGCGCGGCGCAGCCGTCCTGAGACATTCGAGCGCCCCGGGCGGATACAAGTGCACAATGTACGTGTTCAATTAATAATAATAACAATAATAATAATAGTAATATTAATGGTGAAGAGAGAGGTACTTTACAAGGGAGGACGAACGGGTTACACACGAGAAAAGTTATCCGCCTCGGGCTGGCGTACCGCGAGACGGAAAAGAAAGGGAAAAGAATAGTCACGCGTGCTGCGAGATGACGCCGTCGCTGACGTCACGTTTTTCGCAGGGGAGGTGGCGCGGATTAGAAAAGCTTAATATCGTTGCTGAGTTTAATTTGCGAGACATTTTTCCATCCGCCCGGCTCGCCAAGGAGAGCGAGGAATTCGGGAAAAATGCATATTAAGGCCGCGTCTCCGTGTCCGGAGCGTCCCCGACGCGTCTCATCCACCCGGCATTCCGGATCCGCAGCCCGTTCGGCCCATGTGTGTCCGGCTGGCTCGGCATTTACACGATTCTAAAGTTATCGGATAGGAGCGGGGCGCGTGTATCGGCTGCGAGGTTTCGGTCTCGACTCGATAAGCGAGAGCTGGTGAAACGTCTCGACTGGAGTCCTTCGAGTCGAAGTTAGAACACTGTCCGCTACTTGTACGGGTGAATGAGAGAGAATGCCTCATCATTTCAGCCTTTTCTCACTCTCGCTCATATTATCCCTGAAAATGGCGGACAGGCCAATCGGGAATTGTCGTGCTAATTATTCTAACTTTGACTAGAGGAACTTTAATCTCGACCGCGGTCCTCAGCGGACACGTACGCCGATTTTAGGACGCACCATTTCTGATATATCACGCTCAAAAATCCAATGCAGGGGAGAGGAGAGTTTTGAACGCGCGGCGTGTTTCTCTCGTTCTCGATTTCACCCGCTGTAAATCCACTCGTTTTTGCGTCAAATTGACTATGTTAAGCGCGCACGGCCCAGCTGCGAGATACAAATCCCTAACAGAGTATAATAACAGCGATATTTAACCCTCGAGAGGTAATCGAGCCCTGCATTCTTACACGAAGTATTAAGCGCGCGATGCTTACAAAGCCGTAGATTGTAATCCCAGATTTGCATGGAAAACTTCAGGATCGTGCGAAAAAAAGTATGTAAATTAATATAGGCACTTTGAGACAGAAAGAGAAGGAAAGGAGAGTGTGAGAGTAGGAAGGTGGGAGGGAGAAAGGGAGCGAAGGAGAACAGCGATTACGGTCCTGGGGGAAAGGGACGCGGTGTAAAAATCTCATGTAAATCCAACGCAATTAACTGTCGCGGCTCAACTTTTTCCTTATCTATTAACGTCGCGCATAACGACTTTGTTAACACGGCGAGCACGCCGAAAATGCAGCCGTCGAGCTCGCGCGCGATATCTCAGCCGCGATAATTTCGATGACGACGGAGCAAGCGATATAAGAGGCCGGGACGAACCAAGGAGTGTGTTGGTCGTGTACTTTGCTCGTGCATTTATAGCGAGAGGAACGACGGAAACGAAATCGTAAAACTGCGATTGTTGAAAAGGTACACGGAGAAAAATAATTTTGCTCTTGTAGCAAAATCGTCGTTGCTACTGCATACTCGTGGTGGCATCAAAAAAATTTAGTTGACGTAACTAATTTTATAAATTATTCGTCATCAGAGCAGAAGTAGTTTCGTTGCCAGGATAGAAAAAATTTGTTATTTGTCCTAAGAATCACGTTAATTGATGTAGAATAATGTATCCTAGCAAATTTATTTGCTATCGGAGCAAAACGGCAACGGTTTTTATAGCAAAATAATTTGTAGATTCAGCAAATTATATGCAATAAATAGTGATCAGTGCTCTTAGCAAATCTTTTTGCTATATAATAACGAAAAGATTTTACTAAACCAGAAAATTTTCTGGGCCAACAAATTATTTTTCTCCGTGTTTCTTGAGTCAAAACTAGCCAGAAGAAGTCAGGTTAAACGACTGATTGTAACTGATTCTAGCAACTGATAGTGAGCTAAATGATGCCCAGTCGAAACTCGCAATATCCCAGTTCTTTTCGACCAGAAATTAATCGGAAGATATTAATCGGAACAGATAAATTAGTAAATAATAATTAGTTCGTGTGTTTATTTAAAATTAATATTCTGGCCAATATCTGTTATACATTCACAATACACTCAAGTTGGACAATGTAAAGTTAATGCTGTATTGGTTTTATTAACCTTGTTTTATGAATGACGGTCATAATAAACGTCAAAACACGGAAACAAAGAAGAAAATATAATATATAGTGTGTCTGATAAGCGAGCTGATAAGTATCTCGTGTACATGTCAGATTAAACACGAAATTCCTTTACGATTTTGCAAGCAACTGAAAAAGTCTTACGCCATTTTGCAAAACCACGTGGGTTCTTGAGTTATTAATTAAAGATGATTGATCATGTGTCCAGTATTTTTTAATTAATAATTAAAAATCTGTGTGGTTATTTGCAAAATGATAGAGGACTTTTCTGTTCAGTTTGACCTAATTTACAAGCACACGACGGCAATCGTTGCTTTTGGCAAATCATCTACCGTATCGTGCGTGATCACTCGTCAATTAATAACTCTCTAATTAATAACTCACAATTTTACGTAGTCGTTTGCGAAACGGTAGAGGTAGTTTGTGTTCAGCCTAGTCTACGCGTACACGAGGCACGAGACACTTAGGTCTGTATTAATAGTCGTTACTTAAAGTTTGTCTCTCGTGAGATTTATTAATGCTGTAGTGATTGGTTTTATAAATCTTGTTTTATGAATGACGGCCATAATAAACGTCAAAACACGGAAACAAAAAAGAAAATATAAATATATAGAGTGTTTGAGTTAATAACTGTCTCGTGTACATGTCAGATTAAACACGAAATTCCTCTACGATTTTGATGGTACTCAGATTTCTACTCAGAATTAAAATCAAGTTTTTTTTTTCAGTTAAGTTATATGATGTATGTTACATTATATCTGTAATCGCGATTCAACAGAAAAACTCTTACTCAATTGTAAATTCAAATCTGAATATCTTATTTGAGAGGAGTTTCAAGTAACGACTTGAAGTAACAAGCAACGACTTAACTTTTATGCAGGGTGTCTGACACTCTACATAAAAAGAACTAAAGAGAATACATACATTTTCATACAAATGCAGGTGTACATAAATATTTTATATTCTCGCGGAAAGTGTGTGCGTAAAATGTGTGTATTCTTCAAATGCTGACACAATGTTTCGATCATATTATTCGGTCTTCTTCAACGGCTAAGCCCCATAGGTGGCCTCCTTAGTCCCGAACTGCTAGCCAA